ATTATTAATGTAATGACAGTAAACTCATTGTTTAAATAAAGTCTCGCATTTAATGCCTGTTTGCGATAAAAAAAAAATAATAATTTGCTGAAATAGATTTTGTTCTTGGATGGGGCTTGGTATATTATTGTTTTTTTTATCTTGTAATGCATTTTAAATTTTAAACTATTTAATATCTAATTATAACAATTTTTTCCTCTTTTACTGCACCGCATGTTATGTGACTAAAAACCCTGGAACATAATGAAATATTCTGAAATACTGTAAAACTTCCTGAAACTTCTCAAAACCTTGTATAACATTCCAGAACCTTTTGGAATATTATTAATTATCTATTATTATATATTGTGTTTATTATATTTATACTTATTTGAAAAACAAAATATTATTATTAAGTATGTAAAACATTTATTTTTCTTTTATTTTACATTTATGGTATATAAGACCTTCCAGAAGAACCAATAAGGACTTATATATTAATAATATGTATTTCTATTTATATATTTTTAAATTATTTATGTAATGAAGAATAGTTATTTAAAGTGAATCTTTTTACTTTTGTAACAACTCAAATTTTATTTTTTTCTTTGAGTTAATAAAATAATTATTTTTCCTAAAACTTGTGATTTTATTTTTAACTTGAATACAACTTATTATTTAAACTGTTACAATATATTTAAAATTTTACACTTGATAATAGCAAAAGTTTTTTACATATTCTGGATCTGTTATCTATATATACTGTAACGGTGTAACGGCAAGTCAGTAGCTAACTCTAGCAGAGATTCACGTAACCGTTACTGGGGTAATAAATGAATGAGTGATTTTAGGCGTGTTTGTATTTGACCGAGTCTTTATTAATTTCTCACTTCTATGTTCACTACTTTTCTTACGTGTCTCTTCTACTCCTCTATACTTTACATGTTATTTATACTTTACATTTGGCTATGGCGGCTTAGACATAATGATACAGCGACATGGCTAAAGCTAAATTACATAATTCTTTTCACAATCATTCCCGTCCTTTCTTTATTACCTAATTATCACAGCGGACTTACCATTGTTACATCGATCGGTCATGTGACTAACGTCGCGTCCCATTTCTCCCTGTTACAATACTGAGCAATACATGCAAATTTTAATATCTATACATTCTTGTAAATTCTCTTTTTCTTTTCTTCTTTCTTCTTGAAAAACTTCTTACAAAATAATTAATAATTGATTTGTTCAACTTCTGGATAGATTTCAGGATACTATCAAGAAGGTCATCAAATCTGTTACTAAACACACCAATCCTATATCAAAATTTGCAACAAAAATTTCTATTTATTAAGATGATCCAGTAAAAATGTTATGATCTGGCTCTTGCAGGTTCAAAATCTCTTTCTTATCTATAGATTGGAGAATAACCAACCTAAAATCTACTAATTGGCACAGGATTTGAAGAGCCTGCTTTTTACTGATACTTTAATAAGATAACTGCCACAAGAAAGGATCTTGCTTTTAAGGATTGAATAGCATTTGTCTGTAAATTGAAAGGAGCCTTTCAACTATCAAATTATTAACAACATTTGCAACAACAACTGAAACAACTTAGACAAAATGGAAGTGTGTATAAGTATAGCACACAATTCAGAAATATCTTGGAACAAATTAATGAAATGGTCGAACTTGACAAGGTTACATACTTTGTGAAAGGACTGAAGCCTGTGACAAAAATGAAAATTAACTACTATACTCTTGAAACTTTTGAAAAAGCTTGAAAGCTTGCTATTCACTATAACTCTGCTATGTTTGGGCCCACTAAAATTAAAGTAACTGTTTCAATTTCTTTACCATCATCATCTTTTTTTTCTTTTAAAAAGTTTCTACATATCCAATAATCTTTTAACAATGACTACAAGGTATCAACTTCTACTGCAACACCTATGAAACTGGATTACATAAGTAAAAGAAAATATTACAATAACAACAACTACTATAAGAGTAAAGGATACCACATACTAGTATTATCATTATTATTAACACAACAAAAAAAAGAATGTTATCATTGTGAAAAAATAAGATACTATGCAAAGAAATGCAAAGTACCATATTCTATACAACAATAGACAAAATTTAACAATATTGAAAAACACATTATTGACAAATCATTCAACAACAAATCTGAACTTTCATACTTGGAGAACAGCAGAAAACGTTTTTTTAGATTTAATGGCAAGGTAAAAGAACACTTTGCACTAATCTTGCTAGACAATAAAATGTCATGAAACTTTATTAATAAAAAATTTGTTAAACAAACAAAGCAATCAACCAAGGAAATTAAATCCTTCTCTGTGTCTTTGCTGATGGAATCGAAAAAGGAATCAACAAAGCTGTTAACATTACATTACTTTAATTGGGACCTTATAATATTACTAGAATTGATGCTTAGGTGCTATACATGCGTATTTCCCTTCTATCATGCCATTTCGATTGAACCTAAACACACCTCATTATACCTGATGCAAATACATGAAATGACACTCCCAGCTCTACCCTTTACAACAGTAGGAAATTAAAAAGGAATAATGAAATGTCTGTTATATTATCAACGACGGTCTTTATGAAAAAACGTCTCAATTTATATTTATTAAATTCTTAATTGAGAACAAGTGACTCGAGTATGTGTAATATATGAAAATATATGTTCAAAAATATATTAAACACTATAGTCAAATACATAAGTAAAGTTGGAAGCATTTGAAAATAATCTATTCAAATTAAAAAAAACTCCGATGGAGGATATTAAGAAAGCAAAAAAATTGCTATTCATTGTGATTCTCTATTTCTTGTGAATATATGATTCCATCCTTCCCTGGAAAATTCTTTGGAGCTGAATTAACTTTGAAACCATTCTCTTTATTTGCCATCAAGGGCTCCCGATGGGTACATTTTGTCTCGCTATTTTCCTTAAATATTTCTTGAATTTTATCTTCTTTTATTATTATAGAAAGTGAAAATCGCAGCTTTTCTGGAAGTTTGTTTACCCGAGATATTGAAAATCGACTCTTAAATTCTGATGCCAAAACTAGCTCCATCTTTATTTCAAATTCTTTTACTAGAACCTTTTCATACTCAAAATCAGCTTTATGTGTTGGTGCTGAGTATCCGGGAATTTTTCTTTTCTAATTATTAAATAACTATTAAGAATACATATTTAGTCAACGATATTTTATATAATCAAATACCTTATTGTTTAAAGCATGTTCCCATAAAAACCTTGTTCCACCACTTTCAACAGTTGTGATAGTGACAATTGGAATATTTTCCTCACTAATAATTTCCTCCTGGCCGTAATTTACGATCGCATTAGGGGTATATCCCTCAAAACCTGCCGCCACTCCTTTTTTTACTGTTTTGGTGTGTGTTTGTGTACTTATATTTCGAATTGGGATAGATTCGTTTACAAAATTAATCAAATTGCTGTCTTTGTCTTCTAATAATTTTGAAATGGCTGTAAAAGAAACTTGAACTTCAATTGGGTAATATCCTATAACTTTTATTGACTTTGATTGATTCGACAACATTCTCCCACCAGAAATGGATATTTTGGTGACTGCTATATCTAGCCTGTCATTTTTATTATTTGGGTGCTTCATTTGCAAAATAAACTGCATTGTGGCTTTTTGGATAATTTCTTCAAACATTATATTTACGGAAGCGCTCGCTTTAATAAATCCATCTAAATTCACACCATTTGTTCCATTAGGCTCATCTCCACCGTCTCCGCCATCTTCTTTTCCGTTGTCTTTATTATTTTCATTAGATTCCTTTTTATTTCTTTTTTTGTTATCATCTTGTCGATTTTCAATATGATCATCTTCATCTCTGTTACTTTCGTACTTTTTGTTAGTACTACTTCCATTTTCTCTGTCATCTTCACTGCCATTTTTATCCACAATATTTTCATTTTCTAAATAGTCATTATAACCATCGTCAATTGTATTCTTGTTATTGTTGTTTCCTGCATTTTCGTCTGATTCATTCTCAGTAGACAATTGGCAAATTATAACATCTTCTGGTGGACGTTTTAATATTTTAAATAATATTCTAATTATTTCATCGGAGAGCTCAAGGGATTTATTTATATAGAGAACAATAGAAGGTTCTTTGTATGACCTTTCAAATGTAGTTCCTATTCCAACTACATTTTTAGGAAGGATTTCGAAAATTTCATTTTCGTGTAAATGCAGTAAATTTAACAGATCAACTTCAGCTTGTTTAAATCCTACAGTACATTTAGCGTATACACCGGATATGTTTTCTTTTTTCTGCCCTTTAACCTCACAGATTATATTTAAATATTGGATCGAAGAATCTGCGAAAGAAAATTCTTGGATAGCAGGTAATTGAAACCTATCGTATTCATAACCTGCATTTGCATTGTCAGCTTTTCCCGAGCCTTTGCTCAAATCAGTCACTTTGAATTGAGTGTAATCTGCGGCAAAAATCATTCCGGTTTTATTTAAAACTATAATTGCATTAGTTGCAGCGATTTGAAATCGTATATTTACTTTTGAATTCTCAATAAATTTCAAAAGATTATCTTTGAATACATTGACCTGCTGTGCATCTATTGAACTTTTACATTCTTTTATATACTCTGATAAAAAGCAAATGATCCCAGGTTCGCGTGATAATAGTATTTCCTCGAATGGCGCAGATTTTTCGTTCTCGCAGACATCTTCATATATTGCCCTGGCTACAAAATATTCAAATAATGATTTGTGGATAAATTTATATTGATTACCATTTCGACTTAAAGGAGAGTTGTTAAGCAAAAAACGTGTCTTGTTGTTTTCGTATCCAAAAAATTTGGCTTGATTATCTACGTTTGAATACTCTACTAGAACTTCATTAACCTTAAACATCTCAACAGCCAATTTCTTGTTAAATTGCATACAATGTTGTGTAAATTCCTTCTTCAAGAATGAAAATGCGCTCTTTTCATCCTCTTTTAATTTAATATGAATTAAACGGCCTTGGGATCGCTCAAACCATTTATCTACAATAATATTATATAAGGTTAAGTGTGCAATAGTCTCTGCTAAGTTTTCCATCTTTTGTTGAACTAGGCCTGAAATAGCTTGCATAGTAATCTTTAAGATAAACGGATTTCCTAATAATTGGTATGAACTGGGAATATTGTTTAAAACGGTTTCATAACCTTGCGCATCCCATATCTTTTGAGCGACATCTTGTTTTTCGACGTATTTTCTGATATATTCATGAATTATCTCTTTAGAAAAAGGAGCTAGCCAAATTTCCTGTAAAAGTCCAGGGTTATTATTGAGTGTAAACTTTTGTTGACATTTCGTACTTAAATATACCGGTCGACAACTGATAATAACTTTGGCATCCCACTGATCGAGATTATTTTTATCGTAAAAATTTAGTTGTTGATCCTTAATCTCATTATATCCGTCTAAGATAAATACAAACTTATAGTGTCGTTTTAACTTTTTAATAACTTCCGCAGAAAAGCCTGTTATTACTTTTAAATAGCTTTGAATAATTTTTTCATTAATATCTTCTATAGTGTGAAGTGAAATAAATAAAGGGATACGTCTATCTAACTCGTCTTTTGATAAATAATCCTCCCAAAGACATCGATCAAGATAACTATTAAAGGTTGACTTTCCCGATCCAGCCTCACCTAGGAGTAAAAGGACCTTTTTTTCGGAAGCTAAGAAAGTATCAACCTCTGTCTTTAAGTCAAAAGAGTAAGGGGCATTTAGAGTCCACTTTCCCTTTGGTGGAACATATAATCCTAATGCATCTTTAATTTCTTTGTCTTGTTCTAGTTCATATAGATATTCTTTTCTAATTTTTCTCAACTGTGCTAGCGGTTCTATGACATTTGACACTAAATTTTGTGATAATATAAGATGATCCTCGATTTCGGGTACAGAATTCAATTTATGAGGTACGTATATTGAAGAATTGTATGCATCCTCATGAGGAGCTACTTGATCAACCATTGCCTTAGCATAGTTTTTTAAATTTTCATCGTCTTGGTTCGCTAACTGTCGCAGGATTTCTAATACACATTCTTTAACTTCGGGATGTTGTCCCCATTTGTTTTCGTTTTGATAAAGATCCCCTAAAAACCTAACCGCACCTTTTTGTATTTTAAAATCTAGATATGTACAGGCAAGCTGTCCTAAGCGTTGACATAAGCCTATTAAAAACCATTTGTTCTTATTATAAGGACTCTGACGAACAAACTGCTCGAGTTTCATCAACTGATTTACTTGAATAAATACATCTATAAATCGTAGAGCTAAATACCACCGTCTTGTCTGTTCAAACCCTACTCCTTGATGAATATTTTCTACTTCTTCTCTCAATATTTGAACCGTCTCGACCAGTTCTCGAATGCGACTTGCAACCTCATTAAATCCTTCGATTGCTTCAATGAAACAATTAAAGATATCCAGTAATTTATTTGGATCCAAATGTCTAACCGCATTAACTAAGTTAATACTTCCCCTAGCAATTTTAAAAGTTCGATGCATAACTTCTTGCCATAATTTTTCGTCGTTTGTGATGTACAATAACGCCTGACAGGCGTAGTGGGCATGGTAAGCTAATGCCGGATCGTTTTTTAATTCTTTAAGCTGTTGATATAATGGCACATAAAGCTTCTCACGACTGATGCCTTTAACACCTATCCGAACCATAGCATCTAATAATGGACAGAATGTTTGCAATAATTCACTGAACTTGACCTCATTATCTTGTTTGTGCAATTCTTCTAGGTGTTTATGTAATATTTTTAGTATTGACATTAAACTCCCGGTACTAACTTTTCCGACAATTAAGTTAGGCATGTTTTGAATCACTTGAGTTAAGCAATAGAAATTTTTAGATTGTTGGGATGCTGAATTTTCGATTTCATTAATGCTTAGCTCAAACAAATCTGTATAAATTTCTTCGTCCGGAATGGTTGCTAAGATGGCAATTTCATTTATTATCTTTTGGGTTTTTGGCTTTTTATAAGCAAACAAATGAACGATATCTTGGGCTAATCTTATTAGTTGTGGTTCCTGTTCCTTGGTATGATTGTTAGGTTGTAGATAATAAGCCAAATCCTGAGTGCTAAGAATTCCATCTATATTTGAATGTGGCTCGCATGTCACCAGAGGATCTTGTATAAAAAATTCTAGATTTGGTAAAAAAGTCGGTGTCGTTGCCTCTATTAAAGAGGTTGATAATACAGTAGGACTGGTAAAAGAACTTTCTATAGGTATATTTTCTATTTTCCCGGGATTTTTAAATGTTTCAAAATTGTTCAATGCTTCGCTATAATTCAGCCCATACTTTTGACTCTCCTTATTGCACGTATTAGCACTATTAGTTTCTCCTAAACATTTGTAGACATCATCACGTTCTACATAAGCTTTGGTTAAGCGTCTTTCTTCGTCATGAAATAGAAATATCCCTTGAGCCTGAAATTCTTCAATTGCGTACGCATGAGCTTTTTTTTCCGCTTCTACCGAATACTTTAGACTCAATTCCTTGTCCTGCGGAATATACTTTCCCTTATTGTAATAGTTTGCAACTTTTAACATTGCAAATGGATTACCATTATCTGCTGCTTTCAGGTAATATTTAAATGCCAATTTTCTATCTTTTGCGACACCATCGCCATTATACAGGCAATTTCCGTATTGAAACTGTGCAGCACTGTTCTGGGAGCAAAGAGAATCGGAAACTTCTTTGAATAGTTGCGCAGAACGCGTGTAACGATCATTTCTCATTGATTCTGTTTCTAATTTTTGATCCATTGGTGTGAAATAATTATGATATAAATAAAATCCAACCCAGTATTTTGCAATCATATTTCCATTATCTGCATGTTCTTGGAAAAGTTTCCATGCAAGTTTTTTGTTTCCATGTTCTGACAAGTGTTCCCTTAAGGCATTTTCAACAGCTTTAGCATTGCTGATATCTTCTTCGGAGTTTTTATCGGCGGGCTGTGAAATGTTTAAATTAATGCTGGATATGCCTTCTGACGAGATACTGTTTGTGTAGTGTTCATAAAGTTTCTCAAAACTGATAAAGAGATCGGTAAAATTGGGGCGATCTTTTGGATTCGTTTGAACAGCTATTTAGGGAATAGAGGTCAACAGATTGTTAAGCTTCCAAAATTCAAATTGTTACTAACCTTCACGTGTTAATTCTTGGTATTTTAAAGGGACATTTGTTTGATCACTGAATTGAGCACGATTTTCCTCGTTTTGAGCTCTATCTCGAATGGCTACTATATCACTTTCTATATCGTAATACGGAATATTTAACTCGGCAATTTCCCAGAG